CCCACCCACCCTTCCATCCATCCATCCATGCATCCAGACAACTGCAAGTCTGAAGTATTTTCCCTTGACTGGGTGAATGTAGGTTCTCTGGCCTAGAGCTGAGGGACCAGCCCCCACAACAGCCCCGGGAGTCATCAGTACCTTGTAACTGACTTGCACAATCTGAATAAAGATGGAGAGGGGCAGGCAGAGGAGAATGTCACTGACAAGAGCCCAGCCGAAGCCAAAGTCCTTGTGGACTGGGATGGGAGGGACGTAGCGTTTCCATGAGGCTTCATCCACATATACTAGGAGAGAATCAAAGTCAGTGCTACAGGCAGGGCCCCAGTCACGATGGCGCTGTGACATCACCCCAGCAGGTCCTGACTCCCTCTCACCACAAACTCGGGCAAAACCCTACTTGTCAGGCAGGAGGCCCACGGGTCCAGGAAGTCTGGATTATGACTTTATTTTGATCAGGGCACCATGGGGATGCAGCCGGTTCAGAGGATGAGGAGGAAGAAGCACTATGACTCCCCCCTGGACGCTGCTATGGCGTGCCTGCCTCGGGAACACCTCACCTTCCTCCGTGGGGAGCTCCACTTCAGTCTCCAGGGGGGTTCCATCTTGGTGGTCCTTGGGTGGGGCAGAGGAGGCCTCTAGGTCACTTCTGGAGGAGGATGCGACTCTCATCCTGCCCAGGTTCTGCTTTCCTGTTCTTCTTGTACTGCCAAGGCCCGGTTTGTCCCCCATGTGGCCGGTAGGGTGCCCATAGATTAGGTACCACAGAAACATGTGTATTGCCCGCAGGCGAGGCATTTTGGGCAGAAACCCTAGAGAGCGGCCAAGTCCTGGAACTGAGGTGAGAGAGCAGGGAGGACAGCGCTTGAGAACTCCCAGATTCACTTCAGATCAATTCGCCTAAGAACCACTGAGTCCCACGTGCCAGGGAGACAGCAAATGTTCTCTCATGGAACTTACTTTCCAGGGCAAAGGGCACAAATAACGAGACACCTAGAATCATGTATCAGAAAACAAAGCGAGGAAGGGGGAAGAAGGCTGTAACTCCACCTAGAGGACGAGTGAGGTCTTCAAGGTGGGGGGGGGGGCCACGCAGGTTACCTGGGGACATGCTCTCTGGGACAAACGCAAAGTGCCGGAGATGCACGGGCGCCCGGTACATTCAGTGGAGGGCCAGGCCGCAGTGATGGGGTGCAGCAAGGGAGGAGGAGGGTGCCCCTGGAGAGAGCCTGCCAGACCTCCACACGGGGCCCCCCGGCCTGATGGGGCTGTGCAAAATATCCCCAAATCTAGGTTCTTTGGAAGCATCTGGTTTTTTTGATGACACAAATAAAGCGTTCCTTGGCCTTCCCCAGGGAGAGAAGACAGGTGAGGGAGCAGGGAACCACGGGAGCAGGGCAGCGGGGGCGGGCGGCCAGGAGGCCCTCCTCCACCGCCATGCCCACCGGAGGAACACGCTCACCATCTTCTGTCTGCGCAAGCGCGGGCGCTGCTCACCTGCACCTGCTCCTGCCGGGGGCCCTCCCTCAGCCTGCACTTCCTAAGCCCGAAAGAGCGAAGGCAGGCCACACGGCTGTGACCGCGTGCGCAGAGAGGGAGGTCACACAAACGGCCTCTTCCGCCTGGGATCGTAGGTCTGCTGGGCTGGGTGCCACACCAGGACACGGTCCGCACCCTGCCAGGTCACCTCTGCCCTTCCCCGCCAACGAGCAGGCTTATGGCCAAGAGAGGTGTGAAGCCCCACCCCAGCCATCGGCACGTGCCCTGCACGCGTTCACGTCGGAGCAGCTTGTTGGGGGCCCAGGGAGGAGGCAACCCCGTCAGAGAATGGACTCTGGGAAAATTATACAAATGTCCAAACTCTTCAGTGACTGTAACTACCAGAAGGGTTATGAGGTCAGGAACAACAGAGGTTTTTAGTGGCTTAGAGGATGTTCCAGCCCAAGGATACTGAGCAGAAGGAATTCATCTTTGTGACTCAATTCCTCACGTTACGATCTAGCACAGTTTTATCTGAGTCTCCTGATAGCCTTGTGACGTATGCAGGGCAAGAATCATGCCCACTGTGCAGATGGGGAAATTGAGGCCACTGGAGGCCATGGGACCACATGACCCAGCTAGCGATTCAGACCTGCTTCTTCGGACTACAGCCCAGTGCTAGAACGCAGAACAGCAAGTGACTCAAACATCATCATGCAGACAACCAATGACACATCACCAGATGTTGACGTGGAGCTGCTTTTTTACCTATAACAGGGTTATAATTTTTCAGCTGGGTGATGCCCATTTTCTCATCAGTTTTCTTCACCCGTCCACTTTCTGGTTTAGAGGAAGCATTCAACTGAGAGTCTCCTGATCCACTCGGACCCTCTTTTCCTTGACTTTCTTCTTCAACTTCTTGAGGCACTGGAGGCTGGGGCACTTTAACCCTGCAGTTCAAATACAAGATCGATAGCGTGTTGGGAGAATGAGCACTGGGAGGAAGGACAGGGTCTGCCCTCGGGAATCAGATGAAGCCACTTGGCCCTGAAGTTTCAACCTCACCTGCCTGTCAGAGTCAAGCAGATGATGTGAATGAATAAAATGTGTCAGGTCACTAGACATTTGGAGGTGACAGGGCCTGTGGTGACCTGCAGAGGGCACCCCCACCTACAGGGCAGCTGCTACCTTGTAAGAAAAGCAGGCCCAATGTGCTGGGTCCTCTGACACTTTCAGAAATGCCAGTGATCTGGGACACCTGGGCGTGGCTCAATCAGTGAAGTGTCCGACTCGTGACTTTGGCTCAGGTCATGATCTCAGGGTGGTGAGATCGAGTTCTGTGCTCAGCGGGCAGTCTGCTGGAGATTCTTGTTCTCCTTCTCCCTCTGCCCCCCACCCCTGCTCGCTCACTCGCTCTCTCTAAATTAATTAATTTAAAAAACAGTGCCAGAGATCAGGAATTGATGTGAAATCCATCACCAACTGGTTCCAGCCAAGGTCTGCATTCCACGTGGAGCCCTGTGCCCGCCCACTGGCCACCTCCAGTTTAAACCCAGCTAAGAATTTTCTCCCACCCCTGAGTTTTCTCAGCCCGTGAGACGGTTTACGAACAAAATTAGACAAGGCCTCAGAAAGGCAACTAGACTTCATTCTGAGCCATTAGGAGACTGAGTGAGCTTCACACTTCACAGGGCCCATGATTTGGAGTGCTCTGTCGACACCATTAGGCAGAGTAGAATGAACAACAGGACTTTTGTTTTTTCCTTAAAAATCCAGAAATTGGGGGTGCCTGGGTGGCTCAGTTGGTTAAGCGTCTGCCTTTGGCTCAGGTCATGATCTCAGGGTCCTGGGATTGAGCCCCGCATTGGGCTCTCTGCTCAGTGGGGAGTCTGCTTCTCCCTCTCCCTCTGCTGCTACCCTAGCTTGTGCTCTCTCTCTCAAATAAATAAACTCTTAAAAAAAAAAAAAAAAATCCAGAAATTGCTCCTAAACCAGTGAATGCACTGATCTCACCTGAGTATAAATAAAGGGTGTTTGTGGAAACTGCTACAGGCAGGGACACAAAGACCCAGGCAGCTTCCATGGATTCCTGTGGGGTGCCGCCACTTGCCTGTTTGCTGTGCTGGAATTGGAGATCCGGAAACGGACCTGCTCGATGGCACTTCTCACCAGCGGGTCATTCTGGTCCATGGACGGGTGCACAACCAGATCCACCTGCGGAGTGAGAGGTCGGAGAGTCTGGGGAGGAGCTGAGGGAGATCTAGCTCTACACCTCGGTTCCTCGGGGGGTGCCACCCCGTTGACATCTGTGTCCATTAACGTTTCCAAGAGACATCTGAGACCGAAGCGAAAGGCGTCGCTCAACAGTTTGCCATTGCAATTTCTGGCACCAAGATCCCTCGAGTGAGCAAGCGAGAGAGCTCTGCCACTGGAAATGTGCTGCTCAGGTCAGGTGAGGAACGTCTGCCCTGGAAAGAGTGCGGCCTGCCCTGCGGCCCGCTCCTGACACCCCACCGCAGCTATCTGAGAACTTCCCACAGTGGCTCCTGAGTCCTGAGGGCTTCCATCTGGAAAAGGTAAGCAGCTTTCATTAATCTGCCCTCACTGAGAGCGCCGTCGTGGGACTCCTGCCAGGTGTGCGTCTAAACCAACTGGCAGAGGATTTAGAGCCGCTTTTGTCCTTTCACCTCGTCCAAGGTACTGAAGCTAAACAGTTAGGGTAGTGACCATTTCATGTGCGTCATCTGGGGTGACAAAGGGAAACAGCTTGGTGGAGGTGAGCAGAAGGGTGCGAGGGTGGTGGCCGGGCGAGAGATGGCAGGCATCACGGTCACGGCCCCCCGAGAGCCAGGTTCGCTTCCGTCTCTGCCGCTGGCTGGACAGAGCACGGTAAGGTTTCCTAAATGGGTGACTCTGGCCGGCAGGCCTCATGGGGAGAGGTGGGTCACACGGAATGGGCAGTACCGCCTGGACGGGGACCAGCTTCTCATCTATGAAATGGGGGCCCTTCTTCAACGCCCTGCCAACTTTTGGGGGCTTCTGTGAGGCTCCAGTGAGATGCAGGGAGGCAACACCTTGGAGCATTTACAAGCGTGGTGCAAATACAACGCATTCCTGTTCCCCCACTGCACAGTGGTCAGTCCAGTCCCCGAAGGCCCAGCGGGCAGGGCAGGACATAGGAGCAAAGGCCGAAGCGGGTGCTGCCACCCAGCAGCTCCAATCAACGTACCTCCAGGGGGTCAGCGGGCAGCCCACCGGCAGCACGGGCCCTGTGCGCCGGACAAAGTGCCGGGGAGCTACCTCAGCGGACTCTGGAGGCCAATGCACAGCACTGCAGCCCTCCCCAGCCGGGCACACCAGGCTACTAGGACAGTGACGTCAGCGGTGCCAATGGCAGCAGGCCCGGCACTGGTGCCTGCACATCTGAGGTCGTGGGATCCTCGGGGCTTACTCGTGGCGCTCTGGCCCCCACCCCCTCCATTCCGCCCGGTGGACACCAGGCCAAACTGGAGCTGGACACACAGCAGATCCCTGGGCCACTCCTAGACTGGCGGAGACTTCCTTGCCCTCATCCCCATCCTGAGAAGGCTACCTACCCCCCCCCCCCAAAATAACGGCTCTGTGAAGAGGAACAGAAATCTAAGGGGCTGCTGCTGAGGGGTGGGGGCTTTTGTCCTTCAATGAGAGAGGTCAGCACAAGGACCCCCTGCCTGCTCCAGGGGAGGACTGGCAGGTTGTTGCAGGGGACAGGAGAAGGGCAAGGTCAAGGGGACTCAACAGCAGACAGAAAACTGATGAGAGCTGCCAACCCGGAAGGGCAGAAACGGTGTAAGTTATTTCTCACGCTGCTCTGTGTTTCTCAAACTTCAACTGTCTCCAAAAAATAAAGTAAAAAAATGAAATGACCTTGCCAGCTTATTAAGGAAACACCACATCAAAGCACAGCTTTCTTAAGGCAGATATTTGCAACGCAGCCAGAAAGAAAGGGTGAGGCAATTACCAGTGCCTGTCCCCGCAGCACCTTCCCTCTGGTCCCCGAGCCCGGCGGGGCTCTAATTCCTCCGACCCTGAAAAACGCAAGTCTTAGCATACATGCAGACCGCTGAGCTCCAGGTGCTACGGGAATGGCCCCCAACTTTAAATTTCACAGGAACAGACAAACTGAAGCCAGAAGATCTACAGGTGTGCAGTGCGTCCTGAGTCACCACTGTCACTTCCTCGGGGACGTTTCCTCGAGTCTCCGCGGAAATTGTTCTTGATGCCCTGGTCTACACCCTCCACCTGCTAAACATGGCTGAATCTCTACCAGCACTGCTCTGGACTTCAGTGTGTCCTACTTGGCTTCCTGTCACTCAGGGCGGGCCTGGGCGATGGACACCTGCTCTCGGGCCTGTGCGTGCTGCTCTGAGGTCCAAGCAAGTTATTCCTCTTTTGGGTTTCCTGCCCCCACGGCCCCTGCTCCCCAGATGAGGAGGCACAACGGGAGACTGAGTTACTGACAACAAAAGGAACAAGTGAAAACAAACAAGGACAAGAGGAGCCCAACAGGAAAACAGCCAACAGCATGAGGCTGGCATGGTGGGCGGCCGGAGAGCCTAGCGTACCTTCTTCTTGATGCCATCCTGAATAACCGTGGTCCGATACAGTCTCAGGAGGCCCTCCTCAGACAGGTTGCGCACCAAGCGGACAATGGACTTCTTGCAGCACTTGGTAGACACACCTTCTTGCTTCTCCTGATCCATGATCATTTTCTGAATCCTGGGGTGTCACCAAATACGAAGTTAATATTCCCAATAATCTCATCATGAGGTAGCTAAAGACAAGCCGCCACTCACAGCAGCTTCACATGCTGTGCCCTTCCCGGGGACCCAACGGGAGGGCGTGATTCATTACAATGATGGGGACCCTGGGGGCCGTGATGGGGATCTGTCTGCACCCTGTCTCCGTGCTAATTTAACTCCCAGACACAGGACGGTCCAGTGTTCTGCTGTCAATACTCAGGTCCGCAGCTCTTTCTGATTCCTCTCCTCGTGCGTCTCACTGTCTAGATCTTACCGAGTCACTGCAGTGACGTTTCCAGATCACTGATCCTTGAATGGCAGGGCCAGCAGGATATTAGCAATGCCCGGCCAAACCCCTCACAGTACAGACGAGGGGACGAAGGCAGCACTGTCTGCACACGGTCTCCCCAGCCCCCAGTTAGAGAACTAGGACGAGGCTCCTTGACCAAGGACAAGGCTTCTTCTACTCGAGCAGCTCTGACACTGGGTGCCTCCGACGCCCGAAGATGCGGCCCAGGAGGCGGTGGTGATGGTGGGTCACAAGGACCCCATCGGAGTGCGGAGCATCTACGTGCACAGAGCCACCCCAGACACAGAAGCTCTACCTGCATCTGTTTTTGCTTTCGTATCAGACTGCGTTTGAACCAGAGGCTCCATGCAGAACTAAGAACAGTTTATAAGCTGATGCGATTATTTGCCTAAGTTTCTTCTCCAAGGAAAGAGAGGGGCCCTGCCCTTTCCCCACCTTCCACTTCTCGCTCACTCACTCTCTCCCCGTCTAGGGGCTCGATGTTCCTCAACGTCTACACTTCCCGAATCACTAGAACAAGTGCTAAATCCTTTCTACCACACAGGGATGCCGTGAGAATCTATGCAGCAGAGGAAGACTCAGAAGCCTCTCGGTCACATCTGTGGCTTGTGATAACGAGCTGGCCTGAGATTTACTGTTAGTGCAAGACAGACAGACGGCTCCTTACGTGAACAAGCTCTCGATTAAGCGCAGGTTGGTGACGGCTTCTATGATCAGGTTCCTGCGTTTGAGGAGTCGGTAAGTTTCGTGGGGTTTGTCTTGGCCTGGGCCATGCTTCCCCGTCTTCTGGGAACTGCCACTCTCCTAGAGCAGGGACCAAGAGAATAAGAACACAACGGGCTCAGTGAGGTTAGGGGGCCAGACACCATCGCCGCAGGTGCGCTTTGCCTCTTTAGGGAATTTCTATGCCCACGTTTCAAGAAGGAAAGTCCAGAGGGCTGTGACTCTCTGGGAATATCAGACAGAAGCAGAGGCAGGCTTCCGGGTTCACACAGTTGTCCCTCGGTATGTTAGGATGTGTGCCCAATGAGACAAAGGGAGAAGAAGAGGGCTGTGCGCGCGCTCTCCCGTTCCTGCCAAAATGCCCACGGTTCTCTTCATGGCTCTGGTCTTCTAAGAGCTTCTGTGAACTCGTTCCATTTGCCCTTGGATCAGATCTATTAAAACCCCCGTGTGTCCCCTGAAGGGAAGGGAAATCCTGACTCCAACATACTCCTTGCAAATCACTTGGCACAAATGAGCACCCCACGGTGGCCCAGGGCCTCCTGCGCTGGATGCCCTCCTCACTTGAAGCAGCGCTTTCAGGAGAATGAGACCAAGCTCGAGGAGGCTGCTTGCTGCTAGTGTCAGAACAGCTAGCCTCAGATCACTTCCCTGCTGAGGGCCAGGGCTTCAGGAGAGGCACGGTTCTTTCCTGAAGGGGAACCAGCTCAAAAGGGCTCAAGATTCAAGAAGAGGCCCAAGAGAAAGACCTCTGTGCTCTCCTGCACTAGAGCAAACATTCTGGAGGGGAGCCGCATGAGTACATGGGCCACCTGCCGGCGGGGGGGAGGGGGGCGGCTGGAGAGCAAGGTAAAGAGGTGCTCTACCAATGGCCCTCCAGATATGGCCTTCACACCTTCTTCTCAGCACAAGGCAGAAAGAAGGACAGCATTCTGCTCTTACTTTGGGAACAGATTTCTAAGAGGAAGAGGAAGAGAAAGAGCTGAGCCAGGCAAAGGCATTCTAGGACCTGGACGGAGCGTGCGTGCTACTGGAGACATGTGAGCCTGATCAGAAGGTGCCAAGGGGGTAGGGAGGTGAGCAAGGTAGGCAGACCCTCCGGAACCTGCTGGGATCCACCTGCTGGCAGGCCTAGCTTCTTCAGTGAGACACAGTCCCAGCCGGGACTTGAGAAGTTATGGCATCCAAAGGCGAGGAAGGGGTTGAGAGTTTCTAGAAAAATCCAGGGAAAGCCTTCGAATCCCACGCTCCATCGCTTCTGCCGTAAGGCTGGTACCAAGAGCAGAGGCCTCCACACCAGTGAGGGAGAAGCAAGGGGGGAGCTCCACACACATGGGTTCTTGTCCCCACTCTGCATCTGCCGGGCAGGCAAGTCGCCCACTCCCCAGGGACCTCCCCGTTTTGCCCCGGCCCAGAGCCGACATTGCTCTGACAGGGGTGCCGTGAGGCCTCCACGAAAGAGCAAGACCAGTATGTAAAGCCGCCCCGATCCCAGCTGTGCCCTGCGCAAGCTGCCTCGTCCTGACACCGTGCTTCTGAAGCGCAGGGGACGTGTTCAAGTGACAAAGGACAGCATAAGGTGAACTGAATCCCATCACAAGAGTGGCGCTCCTGTGTCAATGGCCTTTTTAATCCTTCTAATTACGCTGATGGAAAGCATTTGATTCTATCGCGTCTTTAACGCGGTGACACCCAATAATATCTGGCCAGAACGTACTGAACAGTTTGGGTTTTCTTTGATCTATTTTATAATTACCTTCCTGTCATGGCAAATGATACCGGCCGTTCATCTAAGGCAGGGCTTCTCGGCGCGGGCACTGCTGACATCTGGGGCCGGCTAACTCTCCCCTGTGGGCTGTCCCTGCACATTCTAGACTAAGCAGCACCCCCTGGTCTCCACCTCCCAGACGCCGGTGGCCCCCGCTCCCCCAGCCGTGACCAGTAGACATGCCCCGTCCAGACATGTCAGATGTCCCCGGGGAGGCTAAGTCGGCCGAGAGTGGGAAGAACCGCTCATCTAAACAAATGTTCCTTCCAAAATAAACTTCAACAGAAAGAGTGAGTGATTGGAAATGACAAGGCCGTGTAAACAACAGCGCCGCTTTCTGGCTGGGAGCACTCAGCACGCAGTGCTCGCACCCTCACTGGCTTTGCTGCAGTTGCTGTGACTCGGGCGCACAGAACTGAGAAGGCCGAGCTCTGCCTGTCAGCGGCCCGTCGGAGAAAGGGCGCACCCCACCATGAGCACTCACCTTTGGGTTCTCAAGCCTGACCTCTTCGATCACAGTTATGTCACCGCTGCTGCTCTTCGTGCAGCGGGAGCCGAAGGACACGCCGGGGTCTGCAGAGCTGCCGGGGTCCTGCGGGCCATCCCTGCTCGCGGAGCTCTGGCAGCGTTTCTCCTCAGCCGCCCCCAGGGAGGAAGGCAGTTGCTTCTTCTGTGGGTGGAGGTTTCCGACTTTCCAGCCCCCTGCAGTGGAGGGGCGGGGGGAGCATGAGCGAACTGTGGCCCCCTCAAGGGCCACCAAGAAGGGCACTTACCCTCGGCAGCCAGACCAGCCCCACGCGGGCCCAGGATTCCATGCGGCTGGTTGGAGGACTCGGGGGCAGGACCAAGTGAGCAGTGTGGGTGCCCCTCCCCGCCCCACTGCCCTGCCTGGCTGGACGCCAGACCTGCAAACTTGTCGTGGGCTCCACCCGCCACACGTTTAACAAAGTTCTAACTCAACTAAAAACTTGAGGGCTCGTCAGATGGCTGGAGGGTAGGGGACGGAGGAAGTTGACTGGATCGCATCCCCTTACTAGTAAAAACACAACAAAACAAAATGAACATTGGCCAAGGAGGACTGACTTGCAAGCAGCCAGGAGACAGACCACATGACCGTCTCCTCCAAATTTAGGATTATGTGATCATGTGACACCAACAGGTCCCCAGTTAGGACAGCACCAAGGAGATCCTCAGGTGTCCGCTAAACCGAATGGGCTGTTTTCTGAACATTCCCAGAGCCGGGCGGGATCGGCAGCAGCTCAGATGGAGGGCACACACGCGCCCCCAGCCTCACCCGCCCTCCCCACCCCCCGACCCCGAGGGCACCCCCTACCCTTTGCTGAGGTGGACTGATGAGGCTGGGTCCCGAGACTGGCGTTCAGGCAGGCCTTCCCGTCACTCTGGGACACTCTGCCTTTCCTCTTGCTGCGGCCCTCCTCCTCGCTGTCGGACTCGGAGAGGAACGTGTCCTCCCCTTCAGGCACGAGTGACTCCTCCTGCACCGAGGCCAGGCTCACTGTGGTCAGCAGCTGGCTCCGAGCTTTCTCCCTTTTGTACTGCCGGCTCAGATCGCTCTCTTCTGCAAACACGCAGGAGATGTACTTGGTGGTCCGCTGACGTCCTTCATCTTCCATGAACCCCTAGTGGGGATATGAGATGTGTTCAATCACATTTGGAGCGCATGACAACACTCAGGCATGTGGGTGAGCGGGGGCTGCTTCCTGATCTTTCCTGCACCTCCCCTGTCACCACCGGGGCCCCGCGTCGGCCCCGCTGACGTTCCCTCACTGTCTTCCTGTCTGCTCATTTCTCAGGTGCTGCTTCCACAGGCCTGTTGGAGATGGGTTTTCCACACTGCAATCCTGAGCGTGTGTCTGCTCTACGGAACCGTGAGCTCCTTGAGGGCAGGGTCCTAACTTGGCCCTCTCCAACTCCCCAGTGCCTGACACGGGACTAGACCTACAGGAAATGGTTAGGGAGCAGTGAGTGTTAGCTATGCAGGATTCGAGGGTTCAGAAATGTTGTCACGGACTGGAGGTCACCAGCTCCATGCGGCCCTTGCCTTGGGGGCGGAGGATGAGGCCATCACCAACCCACACTCATTCTTATCTTCCGGAACAGGGGAAAAGGGGCTTCCCCGGGCCCTTAATGGCAGGAAGAGCAACATCTTCTATATGCCAAGCTCATGCCAAGGCACACGCCAAGCGTTCTGCAATCATTAGCTCGACTGTAATCCAGCCTTCCAGCAAAATGGTCAAAATGTTGGCAAGAAGAGAGGGAAGGATAGGGCTGGAATGCAGGCATGAGTTCTGAAAGGGGACCAGCAGACGCGTTCGGTCAGCCAACTCGCTGTCCCCAGGAGCCAGGCAAGTGAGGAGAGAGAGGGAGGCCTGAGTGGAGAGGGCCCCCGGACAGCACCTGCTTTGACTAAAGGGGCTGCAGGAGGTTAGCCAGCTTCCTGGGAGTCCCCACACGGCTATGCCCCCCACACGGCCACATCTCCTGCTGACTTTTCAGAGCTGAAGACTCATTCTGTTTTTAAAAAGTGAAAACCAACAAAAACCAGTGTCAGGGAGTCGGCGGGAGGTGGGGTGGGGGGGACGACATGACGTGCCTGTGTGCAGCCACCTGCCACCGAGACCGGCTGAGACAGCCCTTGGCTATCACGCCCCGTGCGCACCCAGACGCTATGAAGCATGCGCATGACTCGTGATGTTACCTTGACAACCTTGAATCTCTGAAGAAGACGACACAGCATTCTTGCTTCCAGCTTTCCCACATTCATAGCCACTCGGATTTCAGCTTGGGAGATTCCTTTTGTGCCTCTGCGCTCAACTGTGGGAAATGATATAAGGTGTGAGCCTCGGCCTCTGCGAAGGAGCCCTCCTGCACAAGGCCACGTCCACTCCCCCCACCCTCGTGAAGCCCAGACTCGTCAGTGTGGTGGAACCAACACGCAGAATACAATCTATCTCCTCTCTCCTTGCCCTACCAAGGACCCTTGAACACTCCCCCCAAAACCTAATGCTTTGGTGCTGCCTCCTCCCCATCAGAACAGTAGATGGCAAGTGCCCGGCTGCAGATGTGCTCAGCTCCGGTGCCATCGCTTTTGCCCAGCAGCAGGGAGCTTGCTCTTCCCCGGGGACTTTGCCAGATACATGAAACGGATCCTGTTTTTTTAAAAAAATTTTAATTAAGAACTTTTGTCCGTTTCCCTGGCTTTCTGGGCAGACTCAGAGGCATTCCGAACCCCGATGCCAGAGCGGCCCGTCACAGCTGCCGGCCAGTGGGCCGGGGGACCAGATGCCGCCGGGCACCGCAGTAGGTGAGCAGCAGGCGACTGTGCTCTATTACCGGCTCCCTCTACTTTGGCAGCTGCTGCCCTACTACGTGCTGTCACTGTCTGTGCCTCCAAGAAGCCCTCTGAAATTCACTTAGTGGCTCTGGGACTGGGAACTCCAGGATGGAGTCTGGTAGGCATGGGGGCAGGCATGGCAGGAGGCCCCCCCCCCCCCCGCCAAAGTGCACGAACCACAGGGCAGGCTTTTCAGCAAAGCTCTGTGTTCAGAAAACAGTTCCCGCTTTATTTCCTGCTGCAGTGCACACTTGAGGCTGCCGGGTATGAGCCGTCTGGATAAAGGAGAGCTTGCAGCCTTGTACTTGCACAAAAATAAACATCAGAATGAAGGACGGGGCGCCTGGGTGGCTCAGTCGGTTAAGCGTCCGACTCTTGATTTCAGCTCGGGTCATGATCTCAGGGTTGTGAGATCGGGTCCAAAGCTGGGCTCCATGCTGGGTGTGGAGCCTGCTTAAGATTCTCTCTCCCCCTCTTCTTCCCCCACCCCCCAAACCAAGTGCACACTTGCACTTTCTCTCAAAAAAAAAAAATCAAAAAAGGGGACAAGGATGTATCACCATATCAAACTAGTAACGTGCTCAAAGGGGGCATGACAGGGTTAAGGGCAGCTTTTCCCAAACTGTGTTCTGAGGAACCCATTTGGAGTGATATTAAGAGTTGATAAAAAATGCCAAAAAGCCCCTCAAAAAGGCTGTGGTGATTCACCAGTGTGGCTTCGTACCAGTTGCTGACTCGTGTCCCGCGGCCACTGCACCTCCTCTGTCCTCCTCCCCACAGAGACCCGCGGCCACCCCATCTACGGCTCTGGGTCACTGCTGTCTTAGTGGATTCTAGGGGGTCTAGGGAAAGGGCGAGGAGTGGGGAGAGAGGATTACCCACCCCCCCGCCATCACTAGACTCCAAGCTTGCATTAAGTCTGGACCAATTTCATAAGATGGGGGGTGGCTCTTGAATCTTTGCACTGTTGTATTAATGGCTCAGCTTCTGAGGGCTTTCCACAGAGGAGGCCCTACACTGACATTCTGATTCTACTCCTCACTCAGTCCCCCTTATGCGCTGGGGTGCATATCATCCCCTGTGTACAGATGTGGGAACGGAGGCTCAGAGACCTTGCTACCGTTCTACCACGCTCAGATCCGACCCAAAGCCTGACCCTTCCAGGGAACCATGGGGCTCCCCGCCGCTTCCCACTCTCAACAACACAGGCCTCTCCTTCGCCACGTGGGCAACACATCTCTGGACCCGCGGCGCGCGGGAGTCACACACCCGCAGGTGCACGCGCATGGGACCTACTGAGTTCGTAGGTCTGCGTGAGCATGTCCCGCTCGTACACGATGTCCACCGGGGGCACTGCCTTGGAGATGACCTCCTCATCCTCATCGTCGTCCTGGTCATGGTCATCCTCGACCTTCCGTTTAAATTCCTTCAGCAGCCTGAGGCAGCGCACCATGACGTCCGTCCCTAGGAACGCAACGTGGCATGTTTTCTAGCAATGAGCAGAACACTGCTTGCGGGGGGGCGGAGCAGGGGCCGGGGGCAGAGCTGAGACAGAGACCCAGGAACGGATGGAGTTCAGAATATTGAAAACGGCACGTCCCGGGGCACGAGACCTGAACGTGTCCTCCATAGAACCGTTCTGTGTTCCGTATAATTAGTAAACAAGGAAATGCAAATGAGAAGAATAATGAGGCGCTGCGTCAGTCCTATTAATCAAACAGCAGCCTTCTCCTGCTCGAGACAAGCTCTGCGACAGGAGGAAGCGGGCCGTCTGTCCACGCCGGCTCCCCAGCACCCAGCACGGTGCCCAGCACACGAGCAGCGCTGCCCAAAGGGTGAAAGCCACTTCTCCCCTTTTAAGGGGAGACCCACTGCCAGTAAGTCGCGGCGGCAGGGTAAACGCGTTCTAGAACCCTCTGAGCGCATTGCTGGAAGGCTTTCACCAGTGATGCCAAGAGTGGGAATTTATTCCAAGAAAACTCCAGAAGGAGGCAAAAGCTGCCAGCCCGAAGAGGTCCACACAGCACTCTGTGCACTAGCTTTCCAGAACCACACAAACAGTGAGGGACTGAGCGGTTGGGCACCGACAAGCCACCGCTCTGTGGGCTAGCGCGGCCCTTCAGACACTCACAATGCGCCCACACCCAACCCACGCAAGCACCATGTGAGAAAAGTAACAAGCTTGGGCCATGGCTGTACCAAGAGAAAAGCTGCAAGGGAGAGCAAAAACATCTCAACAGTTTACTAGCGCGAACTCACTTGTGTGATCCTGACAATGCCAGGAGGCATTATATAGATGGGGAAACTGAGGTTCAGAGGACGACATGACTTGCCCAAGCTCTCTGGAGCTTGTAAGCAACAAGGGCAAAGGTACTCGGGCGGCGTCACTTCCACTGCGGAAGAAATGATCCCTCACTAAGAGGTGCTAGGACATTGGAGTGTGGTGGGGGCAGAATAAGGACCCCTCGAGGGCGGCCAAGTCCCGCAACCTGGAGCCTGCGAATATGTTACCCTCTGTGGCAAGAGGGACTTGCAGGCGTGAGTGAGTTAAGGCTTTTTGCTGTGGGGATGGTCTTATCCTGGAGAATCCGGGTGGGCCAATGTCAGAGTCCTTTAGAGAGGGAGGCAGGAAGATCAGAGCAAGAGACTGGAAGATGCCAGGCTGCTGGCTTTGAAGGTGGAGGGAGAGAGTAGGAGCCAAGGAATGCAGGGGGCCTGAAGAAACTGGAAATGGCCAAGAAACAGGTTCTCTCCTAGAGCCTGCCGAAGGAGCAAAGCCCTGCCGACATTGTTGAGTTTAGCCCTAGGAAACCCATCTCAGACTTCCAGAATTGTGAAACCATAGAACAGTGCTGTTTGCAGTCACTAAGTCTGCAGCAATTGTTAGAGCAGGGATGCAGATGGTTTCTCCCCCTGGACACCGAGGGGCATAACCCAGGTACCAGTACAAGGAGGGGGCCGCAGTAAAGCTGGTCTCTGCCACCCAGTGCCTCTGCGCAGGAGCTGTGGCCACCAAGGGCCTTCCCGTGGGGTGGGAAATGCTTGCACCGAGCACTGCAGACTGACCCCTGGGCAAGAGCAGGCACAATACCCCAAGTGGGGCAGAGCATGTGGCTTGCAGGTGAAACTCACAAACGGTAATGCATCTCAGGGCCCTGAACTCATCAGACTTACCCTCAGAGCAGGGTCCAGCCTAGGCCGATCCAGCAGAACCCACCCGGAGGGCAGGCCTAGGGCAAATGGTTGCAGAAGTGTGGGAAGCCTCAGGCTGGTGCTGATTTGCCTGCACTCTTCACGGTGACAGGAAGTACCCACCCCCCCCCCCCGTTCGTGATTTTTCAAGAGAAGAAACATGACGTCACAGCCCTGGCTTCCACACCTGCCAGGCCCTCTCACGTTCTCCTGCTTCCCAAGGCTCTGCCCTTTGCTCGGGGTCCCTCCCCTGTACTCTCCCTCCATTTCTCCCTCCCCAAATGGGAGCCTAAAACGACCAGGAGGGGAGGCATGGCGACGAGGGGAGCCTTGGGCCCGCCTGTATGGGTGAAAATTATTTCAAGGCTCAAGTGACCAGAACTGCATGGTTCATTGGGATTTCCTCCTAGTAGCCAGCACACCACCACAGAGGCAGAACACCAACCACCGAGTCACTCCCCACTCGGTCTCCCTCCATCCCCCGTTCTCTACCCAAGCCCCTCCCACGCCTTTCAGCCCCCCTCTCGCCTCTCAGACAGGGCCCGCAGAGACTGCTCCTAACATAAAAACGATTACCATTGCTTGAACGCATGCAGCGTGCCGGACACCGATCGAAGCTCTCCGTGTTAATATACAAGCTGGTCCTCACCGCGGCCTGAGGAGGTGGCGGCTACCATCCCGTTCCCCACTTGAGGACACCAGGAGCTAAGGCATTTGCCCAAGCTCCTGCTCCTTAGCAAGGGAGGAGCTGGGATTTACCAGGCAGTCTGGCTTCCGAGCCCAGGTCCAAAACCTCGGATGACATTCAGCCCCTAATTCAGAGGCATCCATGTGACCGAGCGCAGTGGGTGACCTGGGGCGGGGAACGCTGGCTTCTGCGGGAGCGGTGGCCCAATGCAGCACGTAGCGGCGGCAGACCGGCACGCTCAGCAACAGCCCGGCGTAGGTCTTCCACCCCGTTTTAACTTCCTTAAGAGATTAACCGGCCACGAAAAAGATACACCTGGCAGCGCTCAACATCAGCACAGGTGGTAGGGGAGAAAGGCTACTACACCCTCGTGGATCCAAAGGGCCAGGAAGGAAACCCCTCTCGGCCTTCCCGCTTCTGCTCCTCACAGCCTCCAGTCGGCACCCGGGCTCCCCTCTGCTTCGACAGCACTCGATGCCCGTCCACCGTCACAGCCTTGTCCTGATGGCCCCGCTGGCGGCAGCCAGGATGGCCGGACCTACAGAGGAGCACCGGGACCAAGCTGGGCTCCAGGGTCACACAGACACGGTTCATCTCAGCTCCAAGACCTGAGACTCTGGGGAAATGACTGAGCAGAGCTCTTTGTGTTCAGCTCCGCAAAGTGAGAGGCCGAGGTTCTCTACCCCCGCGTTAGCAGTAAGATGTCCGGACAGGATGTCTGTGGAGGGGGGCATGCAGCAGTTGACCCTACCAGCGAGCCCTTGCTGTGTCGTGGGCCTTAAGGGAACTGACCCCTCAAATCGCACAGTCTGAGGCTGGAGGCCCCTGTAAGCCCCATGACAGTGTACTTTCAGTGGAGGGTTCGGCTCAAGCAGCTCAGACTGGGCTCAGCGCGAGGCCGCTGTGCTTCCAGAAGGCCATCCAGATGGCTGCTGGTGAGGTCTGGGGCCACGGGGTCTGCAGCTCTGCCCATCCCACACAGCATGGCTGATTTCCCTGCCACGAATCCCAACAGCACTGGATCCATCAGACAAGGAAACCCCGATCCTTTACCCAAACTTGTGTCTGCCACCTCAGTGACCAGCAACCCTTATCGGAGGAATCACAGGCCTGTTAATAGCAACCACGGATGCCCAGGTGCAGGGCTTACTTTCCAGGAACAAAAGGCAAGAGAGAACCAACCAGATCACTGCACACGTTCTCGGCATCTTAAAGGGGCAGCTGGTTGGCTCAGTCGGTTAAGCATCTGCCTTCGGCTCAGGTCATGATTCCAGGGTCCTGGGATCCAGCCCTGCATCGGGCTCCCTGCTCAGCAGGGAGCCTCCTTGTCCCTCTGACCCTCCTCCCTCTCGTGCTCTCTCTCACTCACTCTCTCAAATAAATAAAATCTTAAAAAAAAAAATTAAAAAAATATACAGTGTGCACTAATGTCCACAGTTTCACACAAACCAAGCACACAGTACTTTTGTGTCAAAGATCCAGAATGGGCTCGCCATGGCATGAAGGAAGAATGGCTTCATTTCAACATTCTGAAGACCCAGAAAGGAAGAGGGGAAGGAGTGAATCCTTCCTGAGCACCTAGGATGCACCAGGCACTGTGTTAGGTAGTTGCAGAAGCTGTTTTAATCATCGTGCAGAATCTGCACATGACTACCACCATCCTCTCCATGAAAAAGGAAAGCAGGCTCAGAGGGGTCAAGTGACCTAATGGATGTCTCAGACCTAGAAAGTGGCCTTTCTCCCACACTGGGCCACCTGGCAGGGCTGCAACTCCCAATTTCTACCAGAAAACACCATTCCCTGTAAATGGAAATCCTGAGCTGCTGTGAAGTGGGACCAACAGCCTGTGTTTCTCACATTCCCAACCAAGATCTCACCTGGCCACCTAGCAGACTGGGGCTCTCCATGTGATGAACCCAGGAGAGGAGAGAACAAAAACAGGACGGGAACAAATGAGCACCATGGCAGACTCACTCTTGGAAGTCACCAACAAAGGGACAGTCCTACTGGTAAGCCAGGGAGAGGTTATGTATATTCATATTATGTATATATGTATACTCAGTGTACACTCCCGTCCTGCCCCGCCCCCCCCCCCACACCCCTGGATGAGCCTAGGATGGTCCGTGCCAGGGCATCATTCAGGTAGTCTGGAAACTGAAATGAGAAAACAGCCCATGGGACATTCTAAGGAGAAAACAGCCTTCGGTAACTGCTAGACACACGGAATTCAGGGTTGTACTCCCAATGAGGGAGGGTGCTGCAGCCCATACCCCAGGGTGATAGAACCAGTTAGAAATCTGGGCTCTGGGGACCCCTGGGCGGCACAGTCGGTTTGCTCAGGTCATGATCTCAGGGCTAAGAGATGGGGCCCTGCATCGGGCTCCACGCTCAGCATGGAGTCTGCTAAGGTTTCTTTCTCCCTCTCCCTCAGCCCCTCCCCCTGCTCTCTCTCTAAAATAAATAAATAAATCTTAAAAAAGAAAGAAATAGGGGCTCTGGAGCGTCTCTGGTGAGAACCTGCCCTTGCCACCTACCAACTGGATAACCACGGCTAAGTGAGTTCAGCTAGAAAATGGGGACGGGA